GTAACTTAGGGGACTAATGGATTTCAAGCAGGAGGAATTATATCGTAGCACTCAGATGCGAAAGCATTTCGTTAATCTCTTATGCTGGTATTTGTTTGACTTTTGGAAATTTGCATTGTATTGTAAAGAGTAATCCAGGTCCTCATTATAATTCTTAAACCATTTGATTAAAAATTGAAGTAAATAGATTACTTACTCTTTACTAAACTAATCAGTGAAATTAATTAAAATTGTAATAAAAACAAATATTTGTGTTGATTTATACTTTTTGAGTAGCCAGATGATGATAAGAATTAATTGGAATCATACTTTACTTTTAGCTGGTTAAAGAAACAAATATTGGAGAGGTAAGCTTTCGTCTTGAAATAAAGATCTTTTGGCGACTATGATACAGAGAGAAATATGAAGATAACGAATAATAACCCAGCTCAAAAGTCCTTTGGAACAATACAAATTAGGAGCTGATCTAGAGCAACCACAGACCTATAAAAGAGTCAGAGGTGGGATCAGGTGCCATGGAGGAGAAAACATCGCCTGCCAACTGTACATGTTCACTGTATGCTCCTTGTCATGATCCGGCAAACGGAAAAAAATTGTGTGAAAATAATTTGGATTATTTGATTTTATATCAAATAGTCTGTTTTATTTTTGGGACACCCTGCATCGTTAGCCTAAACTACGTACGAGTTATCCGGAAACCCTTGCAGAGAACCCCAGAAATTTTTTATTTAGCAATAGCAAGCTAGAAGCAGCAACGTGGTTTTTGACTTGAGAAATATGCCTCCGGTAAAGACAACAGAAAAGAAGAGAAAAGTTCCGATGTGTTCGCCAGCCAGGGCGAGGGGGAGTAAAACCCCAAGTACCTGAGGAGTTGCCACTTCTCAATGGTCAGGTTCCCCCATCGACGTGGACACAATAACCTACCCCCCAGCTAAATCACAAATTGAACAAACAGTAGTTTACCACATCACAAACTTGTTCATCTGATGGTATAGCATATCATATTCCACACAAGTTAAAAGTATCGGAGGGTCAGTTTATAGATATATCGCTTCCTCCTAAATTAGCCACTGAATTAGACAATTTTGATCCCACGCATGTGAATTAAGGCTAGGTATAGGCGTTTCTATGCAAATGAGCTAATAAAAAAGCAAAAGAGGTATATTTATTATTCAGAGAAAGTTTTCATTTATTTTCTTATGTATACTTAGTACACACGATATATTGTTATAGCCAGTACATATTATGACGTCATATTATGATGTCATTGTTCTTACCTACTGGAGGTAATAAAACACATCAACAAAACAGCTCCGGCGCAAGGGATTACCCTATTTAATTTTTCAAAAAAAATTGTATAATGCTAAGAAGAATATTCTATAGATTAATAAAACTGCTGTACAAATCCTAGGCATTTTCTCATTGGATCAGAATTTGAGGAAACTTATACCGGACTGTACATTTTTACCCAGATTCAACTTAAAACTTTATAATTAGAAATTATATAACTTAGCTGCTGATATTTGTGCATCAATACCAGCAAGCTTTGGAATATTTTGCTTCTAAACTTACCTTGTCTCAGTTAGATAAAATAGAGCATGCACCGAAGCATTTTTGTTGATATCGATTATAATCTTGTGTAGTAAGGAATAATGACATCATAATATGACGTCATAATGTGTACTGACTATCCCATGTCATGGGTACTAAGTATATATTAGACAATAAGTTTTAACTTTCTCTTTATAGTAGATATAGTCCTTAGGCATTTAAAGTAGTTTATTGGTATAGAAATGCCTATACCTAGCCTTAACTCATCTGCGCAATGGGAAGTTCAATTTAAATATGGCTTTCTGAGCGTAGTTAAGCATAAACAAAATTCAAAGTAAAACACTGAAAAATGGACATCTGCATTCATGATATACATGATCATCATGTTTGTACAGAATGTAGCTAAAGATCAAGGAAAGCTCAAATAATTATATTCGTCGTGTGCTCCTTGTCATGATCGGACAAACGGGAAAAAATCCGTAGCCAAATCAGTGTGAAAATAATGCTCTAACAATTTGTATGATAAAATGTCAGTCAACATTCGACTAAAAGATAGATTGTATTTGTTAACAAGGTCCTTATATCAACATTAGAATTTGTCAAATGTTCACTTTGAACGAAACTGTTGATATCCTTGTATCATAAACTTATTTGTCAAAAGCTTATAGTGTTTTAGAAGAAACTAAATGCATTGTAATCATAGCAATATCTACAAATCAAGTGCATGTTTGTTCCCAAGACTGATTTCTTATAACACAAATCAAGTTAATATTCACAGAAGTAAAAGATGCTTAGAATTAAGTGAAAAACATGCATCTGTAACTGCATGTAAACAGCAATATAACCTGAGAATAATTAATTCACGCGTCATTAATGCTTTTGAATGTCACAATACCTGTCTTTATTGGCACATAACAGCACAATAAACATACACTGAGATATATTTTCTATATTTCATTCTCAAATAATAATTGAAATAAAGTCAATATTTTGATCAGACAAGAAAGATTTTTGAAGCAAAAGTAATAGCATTCATTGTGTTCTGAATGCTTCTAAAAAGACTTTCACGTTTAATTTATCGACGAAACAATTAAAACTTCATTGTCTTGGAACTAGTGCATTTAACAGGCTTTGGTTTACCCTGAAAGGAGTTGAACCATGGATTTTCCTTTCTGGAGGTTATTTGGTTAATCACATAAAGCGATAATGTTCCACGAATCGTTTTTCGCTAATAATTGACAGAAGGTCGGATTCAATTGACTTTCTTGTTTATCAGCGATGGAGTTTTTCCAAGATTTCAGTAGTCAGTGCCAACTTGACGCAAGAACAGAACTGTTCTATTCTCTTGTCAATTTACGTTCCGTTAAAGCACATGCACGACTTCGTAAAGGAGATGACAGAATCGATTTTTTTTATCTGAGAAGAAAGACAGAGACAAGTCTTAATTTTGGAATAACAGCATCATTGATGAAGCAAACTACGAGTAACAGGCTTAATTAGGGGAATAAGCTCGAGAGAAAACTGGAAAGAATTAAATTGCCAACGCAAATACTTCAAGCCACTTCTGCGCAGACCACTCCATTAGAGAAAAAGCAATTAAAAGACTTTATCGGTTATGGTGAAGCATCGTCTTTCCGTGCAACAAGATTGAAATTAATGACGAACCTATTGATGTGTAGATTTGAATGTTTAAAAATATAGGAATTGTAATGTTGTCTATTGGTAGGTAAATATGTTTAAGATTGTTCAAAATTTTAATTGTGTAAATATATCCAGGTTTGTTAAATATTTAAGATTTGTCTATTGTCAACTATACCATCTGCACAGGCATGACACAAGAAAGACTTCTGACATCTTATGATGACGAATCGTCAGTGCTACCATAAAATTCAACAAAAATTGGAAGAAAAATCAAACTGTGCATTTTTGAAAAAAGAAGTGAATAACATTTTGCCACATATCTTAACTTCTAAAGAACCTCTTTCTGAATTGATAGCTGTTAATAATGTGATTTGGTAGGTTGATACAACAAACGAAAGATCAGTGTTCGGTATATTTGAGTCAAAGGGGCCAAAGAAGGTCAAGTTCCTAATTTGCTCTTAGTGAAATTTAAAAAAAAAGGAAAAGAACCTTAACATGCTTACGTAATCAAAGCACTAATACACTGCGTGATTGAATATCAAGGAAGGAGGCAGTGTTAATTGATGTAGAACACATCATATCTTAGGCAACAACCCTAGATAGAAAAAAATCATTTCGATACATCAAACTGTAATCAAAATCAGATTCATCTCTGCGGATATTAAAGTCCCGCGAAGTCTTCATTCCAACCATTCATTTTGTCAAATTAACGCTCCAAATCGGCAATTTCCTGACTTGAGCCTGCGTAATTCCAAATTGTTTCATCATTTCGCTTTAACTTGATTATAGGAATGAATGCAGTCTAACAGACTCAGCGTTTCACACTAGAGCAAATGTCACGCTGAGAGATCAAAGAAACGGTTTTAATTAAAAGCAATCAAGCTGGAAATGATCTTTTTCTTATTATTTCAAGAAACCGGGCTTCATCATTACCACTTGTTTCATTGTTTTTTTGTTTTGTTTTTTTTTTTTTTCATTTTAACGAAAGACGTCGGTGCCTTTTGTTTGACGAAATGCTGATGCACACACAAACCTACCAATTCTTGTAAAGTGTTTCAGATTCTTTTAGGTTTGTGTTTTCCTTGTCAGAATGTTTAATATTATAGTTATACATTGTATCACTTTGTCTATGTGAAATATTGGAATAATTTATGAAATAATTGGAATTCATGAAATACAAGGAACATTTAGGTATTAATTACATGTCAATAAATTACAGAAGGAGAATCTGAAAGATCTGTCGCCGCTTTTTTGTAGAATATTTTGAGAAATGTAGTATTATTCATCTAATGATTCATTATTTTAATAGAATATAGTTCTGAAACAATCATTAACACAGTATTCTTCTTTGGCAGAATTTCACTAAGTTATACTACATTCTCTTCTCTTTTTGACAATGTTACATAGTTTCGACATAAATTAATACAGTAATAAAAGTACTAAGAAAGACTGAGAAGACTGAATTTTGACTGCTGGTGAATTATACGTGTCAACCTATCCATTTCTCTGAATCAACAATATATTATTGTGAAATAAAATGTACGTATTCAAAGAAAAAAATCAATACTATATTAAACCTGCAGAATCATCAAACAACTTGATTATTTCATTTTCCTGTAGATAAATTAACAAAAAAGACCAGATTCATAAATCAAGTGGGAATGGATATCCACATGCTCCGTTATGATATTCAGAATAAAGCTGACATAATTTGATTAAATTTACAAAATCACAGTACAATTTCAGTCTTTTATTCTACGATAATTGCACTTTAGCGGTTTATTACCAATATAGGAAAAGATACTCACACTGCAAAAGACGAGCTGTGTCTTGTTTGTTGGGAAGAGAGCAATTGTGAATCTGCAAAAATCGCAAAAAATCTTTACCATAACTGAAGCAGAGCAAATTTTATGTCATGCAATCGGAAGTCATTTCATGATTGTTTTGGCTTCTAAGATGCTTCCCTCCGTCCGATAGGAAAGAAAATGAAAAGAGTTTTTTCTAGAGATTTCCACAGATAAATCGTAATGGGTTACTTCTTCTTGAAGAAAGAGATATAACAGATTTATGTGGACAGATCGACCGTTAATCAAACTGTATTTTAACACTGCATTAAGATTTAGATTTCACTGACAAACCAACTCGTGTAGATCATCATTATAGCTATCAGAAAACGTCCATTTACTGAGTGGGCGAGAGAGTTAAATGTCAATGCCCAATGAAGGACAAAGAATCTTCAAAGATGCCCTAAATATCGAAATTCTCTAAGTTTTTTTTCTTTTAGGTGAAGCCAAGGAGGATATTTCGATGCGAATCATGGCAGATACTATGACATTTGAGATATAAAACATTGGAAGATTCACAGACAGAAGGGAACTTTATTTACTTCACGTCGTAGGTCAACAATAAAAATGATATAGCTTGTCATTTCCATGAACGAACATCATCAGTGGATCCCTCTACTTTTAATAGTTATGAAATGAAATGGATTGGACTTTGCTTTTGAATACCAAAAAAAAAAAAAAGATTTTTTTTTGTGATGCAATACGATAAAAATTGATCAACAATGCAGTAAGGTAACTGATACTTCATTTGGTTAGAAGAAGAGATGTTTGACATATAGCGCTGGGAAGTGATGAGAAAAACAAATGTTGTTTGTTACATTTTTTCAGAGTATAAAAAGAGAAGACTAAGTAGTGCCTGCATTTAAATTCGGTAGAATATATCAGAACTGCCAATCACGGTAGCCTAGTGGTAGGGCGCTCGCTTCGCGATCGGAAGGCCCGGGTTGGGTTCGATTTTCGTTCGCTGCTAAGAAGAACCTAAAAAGGTAGTGACTGTTCCTTCGCTAAGCGCCCGTCACTAGGAAGTGAAAGAAATGGGTCTTTCGTTGAGACCTTAAAAATCGATGTCCCGCGTCACGGTAGGCTTTGGCACGATAGAAAACTCCTTCGAGTATAGGTCTAAATTTGAAGCCCTTCACCGGCATACGTGAGTGAAAAATTCACAAATGGGACATTAAACTACATACAATCAATCAATCAATCAATCCTTTTAAACAAGAACGTGCCTCTCGAACAATCTATTGTATGCTTTATCATTTTATTCGTGTATTTTATTGTTTAACGGTTGTAACAAAAATCTTCTTTTGAATATTCTTTATTTTCTCCCGTCTTTCTCTTTGTATGTTCAATGGATGACAATCTCAACCACTGTAATTGAAATTATTTACTTCTGAGGCCGACGTAAGCTGCCTCCATTCGAAACAATTTATTAGATAGGGATATGTTTTCTCATTTTTAAAAAGAGAAAGATAAATTTCTTGACAAATCGTCAAGGAATTGTCATTTATATTATGAAAGTCCATTTCGTCATGCGAGTTTTGGGTTTGCTCGGATTACAAGTTGCTGCCTGAGTATAAAGTTTGAAAATGAAAAAAAGGTCATGAGATGAAAAAAGGTTTCAGAATCTATAAATCTTGAAATGTTTTAGATAATTAATTTTCTACTCTTTTATTGAAATATTTTAAATGTATAAGACTCATTATGATACAGGTTATCGGTGGTAGCATGCCAAATAGAGCAATACACTACTGGTCGTAATAACAGACATATCAAACTTTTAGATCCTCTTTCATGTGTTATGATACTTCTTCTCTCGTGTCTTGAAGTTTGGGTAGAAAAGTATCTTCTTTTGTAAAATCTGATAGTCATATTGACTATTAGAACAATTTATTTTCAGTGCTTTCTTTCTGAGAAAGAATTCAACCAGAAATTGTCACTTCCTTAAAGGTCATTTTTAATCAATCAAAGTTTAGAGGAAAAAAATATGGAAAAGCTGCTGGTATCTTTATTTGGCTTGTGCAATATTATCAGAGCAAATGGAAGTGTTTTTTTTTTTCTTATCTTAACTCTTTGTAAAAACATCTCCCTCTTATAATGATATTCAAATGTAAATGTACATGTATGGTCATGATAAAAAAAATAACTCTGTGGAATTAGATCTGTAAAATATAATAATGTAAATCATAAATTGAAAATGTCTCAGAATTAAATATTGAACAAAATTTTGCTAAAACCAGAAATCAATTGCAAAAATAACTGAAAAGCAGATATTTTAAATCTCTGCTGAAATCTATTACATTCTCTAACTAATAAGCATACATCTAATGCTTGCAAATAGTAGGAACTAATCAACATCCTACCGGTATATTGTGCATTCATAGCTTTTCCGATTCTCGACTCAGTAATATGACATTACTGAAAAAAAAAAAGAATTTAAAAAATGGGTTATTTGAATAGTTGACCGCGTATTTTTAAAGTCCAATAAAACAGACACAGAATTCCTTTTAGAGTAAGGTCTATCTTGGAGATCCTAGCTTAATTGAAAACTGTTGTAATGTGTACGTTCCTTTAAGTTCCCACATTGATTTGATGATGTTTAGTATCATTTCATTGTAGTTAGATGAGGATATTACCATAAAAATAACGGTTCAAAGTATTTAATAGTGCTCGGTATATATATTACCAGTTAGTGTCTTTTAAATGTCAATAAAGAGTGGTTTTATAGACTAGTTTGCATTTGATATAAAAATGTTCTCTGTTTATTACATTACGTCTAGAAGTAGCGCTGATTATTTCGAATCCATAATTTCATCCTTATTTCGGAAAGTTGTGTAGAAGAAGAACATGACATACTTCTCATTAAACAAAACGGAGAATCTTACTTGCGTTCTAATACTGAGATTATTTGTTTATTTATTTATTTATTTATTTATTTATTTTTTTTTTTTTTTTGTCTTTTCTCAATTTTCATAAGTTCTATTTCTTCCAAAATATATTGTATTTTAGTGCTAAAAGTCAAAATTTGATGAATGATCCTAATTCAAATCAAACTCAACAGCTGATATGTTAAAAGGACAAAACTTTGATTTCCTCGGAATAAATGATGTTTTGTCCTATTTTAAGAAACCCCTTAATCTCTTTCAAGTACTTTATATCAAGACAAATGTGATAGAATAATTTTTTTTGAAATCCTAATGAATAAAATTGTCTTTCAATATTTTTAATTAGATAGAATGCTATGCTCTTATGGCTTTTTCAGAATTTTCAAAATAATTTCAGCTACAATTTGTTTTTATTATTTTTATCAGAAATGTATAATCTTTTATATAATTATGTATGTGTCAAATACACAAATGATCTACTTAATTTATCGAATATACTAGAATATACTATGTTTGATGTTTTTAAATATTAATTTTCTTTTTGTTCAATTCTTTGCAAAAAAAAAAAATTATAGATGGAAATTTATGAAATAAAATTTTATAATACTTTGGCTATAAAATTTGCTTTACAGTTAGAAAAAAATATTTTACTGTTTTGAACTGTTTCAAGGAAAGAGCTACAAACGGACAGAAAATTATTTAAAACAATACAAAGTATATCCTTATATAAATAATTCTAACTTCTTTTTCATTTTTTTTTTAGATTTTCATAAACGCATTAAATGGAATTTGATAACTATTTTTCAATCAGTAAATAGTTAAGATTAAAATTTTTCTTCAAATAAAACTTTTCTTTATCTAATGAGATTCATTTCTTATTTACACATGTATAACATTTAAACCTAACCGAACTTACTTTATATTAAAGGTACATAATTGTATGTAAACTACTCTAACTAAATACTTTGAAGTGGTGCATATGAAACTGACAATGCATGCCTATAACAATGTTAAGTTCCCACCTACCTTGCTGTTGGTCGGTATCTGGTCTATGTAATGACCCTTTAAGATCTATTCCAATTTATACAGAACAGATTTAATCGATTAGGAGAACACCCAAATAGTTAAAAAAGACCTGTAATTATCTAATGTGCAAAGCATCAAACGTGCAGAGCATGTTTGTTCGATGGTAATCGTTTCTAGCCTTTCAACATAGCAATGCATATATCAAGCAATCAAAAGAAACATGCAAAATTATTAAGCTATACAAAATGCCGATATGCTTATATGCGATAGATTATGCGCATTACAATAATATTCACATAGTTCACGTAAACTTAGTGCATGCTTAAAATTACATGTATTTGAAATTTGATACCAAAAGCATTTTCAAGACAAAGAAAATCTGATTAATTGATTGCTTGCTTACATTGTTACATGGAATAATTTAATGTCGTATAGTTTCACATTTGGTCGCTTTCAAAAGACGTAGTACAATGTTAAATCTGACATTATTGAAAGGAAAGACAATGTGCTTAAATTCTTAAGCTGTGCTAAAGTCAAGTTCTGAAACAGTTTCGAATATGCTGTGTTACAGGTGTCACCTTCCTGTGAGGCATTGATTATTACCATTCATCTCTCAGATTCTAAGCACTTGGAATAAATATAGAAGACATTTGAATCAATGAACCATTGCCAGCATCTGAACCTGTAAACGTTTAATAGCGTAAATGCGATAACAGATATAAGGATCAGCATGAATTTTGATTTTTGCGATGAAATTCCAATTTTTTGAAATTTTTGTTGGAAGTAGAGTTGAATCTACATGTGTACATAATTGGTTCAACTCTTAGTGTCGAATAAAGAAGTGAAAATTTTACCAGGACATGAGAGGTACGCATGTATTTTACGTGACTAAAGTATATTTCATCGCATTCGATAACTCGTACAGCTTTTTTCAAACCTAACGATCAACCTATTAACATATCATTTGCTTAATTCCCATTCTTATTCTTAAAGCTCGTTAGCAGGTTTCATAACTTATTAGCAGGTTTCCCATGGATCTTTGACAATAAGTGGCTTATGTGTTGCCATCATTACTGCAGGAAAACTTGCATGATCGCCAAAAACAGCG